CACACACACACACACACACACACTCTCTGCCAGTAGAAAAAATGCCAGAGGGCCAACAACATTAACAGACACCAGAACTCCCTTCTCCTCCTGTTTCTGCTCTCACTCATTACCCAGCTCGGTGCCTTTAACAAGAGACATCAAGCAGGGCTCATGTGAACGCATTCATCAATGTCAGGTGAAATATTGTCTTGGACAACTGACAACACAGGTTCAGGGTCCATCCATAAAACGGCTGGTAATGCTTTTCTCAGCTACTCCCATACTGGCTCGAACCCAAAACTGCATATCTCATCACATTTTCACCTCACAAAAGTCTGACACAGATATCAAGAGAAAATGTCAGATTATTCTCTTGGAGTTGTGTAATCTGCCACAGTAAGCAGTTAAGATTCATCTCAGGAGGTGTCTCATGTAGTCACACTGACCTGCTGTCTGCCAACTCGCCTCTGCTATCAACAGATCTGTCTCCAGTACAGTTTATCCCCAGTTATCCCCTTGCTTTTCAAAAACACCTTTGCCGTTTTCCGCTGTCTGCTGCGAGCTGCAATAGAGCTCCTCTCACTCAGACTCCAGTGCTTGTCATCGGCGTCACACTTGGCGAGTGTGCGTCGTATCCTTCTGCAGTTTCTTTTGGGCACATTTTCTTAGAAAGGAGTCATTTTACTGCGTATGCGTATGTCTGCCAGGAATACACTCAGGGCTATCTGTGCTAAATACGTTTTTTGTGCTTTCATCATACATGCAATCCATACTGTAAATTAAATAGTAATTTTGAATAGATATATTTTTGTTTTTATTTTTACAGGAAGATATATACAAGTTTGAGATTGAGGGTAAATCAGGGAGGAGAAAGGAGGGGAGGTTAAGAAGGGGGATAAGGAAGGGAGGGGAGTTGGGATGATGGGAAGGGAGATAGGGTTGAGGGAGTTGAGGGGTTTAAAGAGGAAATTGACTTATGTCTTTCTCTTCTCCTTGTCTTCCTCCTGTCATTGCTTTTTCTCCCTTCTTCTGCTCTTCCTTCTCTTTCAGCTCCTTCTTCAGCCTTTTTTTTTTCTTCATCTGTGCTATTCTTTCATCTTTTATGCTTTCCGGCCTTGTCCCTGTCTGACGTGAGGACCATCTCCTGTAAAGATAGAGTTGATCATTATTCATATTTTCTCTCTCAAGTCTTAATCTGAAACAAACTGGCAATCCAACAAGTTATTGTTCAAATAAAACTGAGCTGATGTCACTTACCTGAAGCTCAATATTCTTCACGATGAGGAGCTTGATATCCTCCTCTATCTTTTGAGCTTTGGTTTGACAATGCTGAGCCACTTCTCCTCTGAGGCTTCAACCAGAAACTCCAACTCCATGATTTTTTGAACCCAGACTTCTTTCTCCGACTAATTGTTTTGATTTGTCCTTCAACCTCATGTTAATTGTCCTCAGTTCGAACTCTAGTCCTCTCTGTACAACGGTGGCATTCTTCAATACACTCTCCAAATCCATTCTGGCCTTTACCAATGACGCATTATCCTCTTTAGTAATAATAATCTGTGGTTATGGTTAAGATATTGGTTAGGCTATCCACAATGAATGGAAGTCAATTGAAAATCCTAATCATGACAGCTTCACAAACCTGTTTGTGCGTGTGTGGAACTGTGTGTGCGTGCAATTGTGTGTGTTTGGCCATGAGCAGGGTCAGCCGTCTGTCAAAACACACCCCTTCAAGCTAGGGGAGACGACTGTCTGTCCAGCCAGACAAGTTTATTAGTTTGTCCTAAAACTACATATTGATGAGATAAAGAGAAGGAATTCCCTGGACCTCTCTCACCCTGTCAAGCTCCCAGGGGTCCCTTGGTATGAGACATCGCTAGCATCCACCAACACTGCTGCCCCTTGCTTATAGTCATGGAGCCTTTCCAGATGCCTGAAGACAATCATTTGTTGATTGTAGCAAGGCAGATTTGTTTGGGTGCTGAAACGTTGACGTCAAATTAAAGAACTCACAGTGAATTATTGTAGTTTATTTTCTTTGTTACTCTCTTATGGTTTCTGTGGACCTTAGCTAGATAGATCTACCTCATGCTATCATGAGTTATTGAACATTTGTATGTATGACAATATATAAATATTGTTCATAGATTGAACTTGTGAAAAACTAAGACGGTTTATTTTTTTGAGCTCATTTGACTTTAATTTAAAATGCACTGCATACATCCGTGGTTTATTTTCAAAAGACTTTCCAGACAGCTTAAATGCAGCCATTAAAATGCACGATAAACTGGATGAAAACGAAAATAATTAAAATTACTTTTAAAACTAAAGAAAGAAACGGTAAACGTTTCCACCAAGGCTGCATAATTTCAAAAATTGAAGTGAAAATATCACATGCTTTGACGCAATTTTCCTTCATGTCATACATTCTCAGCTTCAGGGCGACACAGAAAAGCTCCATTCATCCACGTTCCATCTCAAACTGTAGGAAAAGGCCATTTTTTGATTTCCTGTCATTTGGGATTTCCTCTTTTCCCAGTGTTTTGTCAGACATCAAAGTCAATATGCAGGTAATGGTGAACAGATTAACTAATTTGAGCAAACCTGAGCGCATTGATAGTTCTGACACTGATCTGCATGTGTGTGCATCCTAAGGGCCCTGGCTGTGTCACATTACAGGAAGGACACTGTTGAGGGGCCCCAGCAGTTTAAACAAGGGGCACATTACAATGCAAGGAGCACGAGTTTTGCACTTTGACATGTAATGACAGATAGTTTCAGAGCATTGAGCCAAAGAAAACATTGTCCTCACACAGAGCTGAAATGTTTCACCCCCACCAGGATGATCCACTGTCTCATCACAACTCCCAACCCAAAACAGCCTCCCGACTCAGCCGCTGCACTGGGACTGTTAATTTCAATCATTACGGGGAACTGTCTGCTCCTAATGAATCGTATTTTTCCAACCGAGAAGAGTCTTTTTTTTTTCTTACGATGTCTGACTTGATGTAAATCTGCATTGGATTACATCCAAACGTGTTTTTGTTCCAGCAGGATAAATGAGTCTCATTGAGGTTCACATCTGTCGCATTTGTAGATTTATTTTGCTCATGAACTCAGTGTGAACGTTGTGTAAAAAGCTACAGCGTTCATTTATTTTGTAATCGCAAAGAAATACTGATAGTTGTGTAACACAAAAATGTTCATAGTTTCAAAAATAGAATAATGTGTGGTAAATGGACTTTATATATTGCGTTTCCTGTCTTATTGACTACTCACACAGACACACACACACACACACACATTCAAACAGTGCTTTTTTTATCATAGCCATTCATACAATGTCGACAGCCATCAGCAACAATTTGGGGTTTATAATTTTGATACTTTTGAGTGCGAATGGCATCAAACTACTGACATTCTGGTTAGTGGACGACCACCTCTTCCTCCAGAGCCGAGCTGTAGCTGCCCATATGTGCAAAAAGACAAAAACTTTTAAAACAAACAGCCCGTGGGATGTAGAGTTGTTTCTGCTGCTCATTTAAAGTGGATCAAATAGGAACTTATGAGTAGGAAGCTTCAACCCTTAATTCAAAATCTAATTACAGTTCTGATGCTTCACTTACACCCACACACCGAGCTGTTATTGTGTTGATCGTATCTCTAGCAGCAGCTCAGGTCATGGTCCCGTGTCTCCTGTGATATTGACAGGACAGTACACAGTACACAGTGAGGCTGTTTTTCCTGTGAAAGAGATACCACTGTCTTAATACTTCACAGGTATTTCCTCCGCCTTGAGGGGCGCAGAGGTGGAGGGGATCCAAACACAAACATGGGATCATTTAGTCACGGAGGATTAACCCACTTTGACCAAGTTGTTTAGACCCATCTCCTCTTTATTTCCACAATATAACTGTTTGTTATGGGCTTCCTGTGTCATGCATTGTTTTTTACGATGTGGCACCACAGAGGAAGATAATGGCTGTTCTTTATCAGGTGTTCCTTCTTTTCAAGAGCTCTTCTTTTTATCTGCTCTGCTGTTGCACTTTGAATTGTCTACAGTGACCTGAGACTAAGTGTATCTCTCTCTGTGTGTGTGTGTGTGCGTGCTTGTGTGTCTGTGTGTTTGTGTGACAGGCGAGCATGATGTTCAGTTCGGGCGTCTTCTGGATGGGCCTGTTCTTCATCCCCATCACCTCGCTGACCTTTGACGTGGCCTACAAAGTGTGAGTCCTCTCTTTGCTCTCCTCGCTCATCACTCCAATACACATCTGATACAGGAAGGGCTTGTTGTTCGGACTTTCAAAGAAGCGCAGCGTTTCCATTCTGTGAACACTCCACTTGAGACTTCTTCCTCTGCCCTGTGTCTGGTCGACATCAGCTCACAGCAGATTCAAGGCGTCAGGAGCAATTTGCAAAGCTAGAAGTTATAATTCCTGATGTGTCCAAAGTCATTTGAATCAGTCTGTTGGGTATTTTGGTGTCAGTCGATGAAGGCATCTGTCATGTTATTATGTTTGTATGTTTTTTTAAAATGAATTAATTTACAGGGTGAAGAAAGTGTGTTTCAAGACTCTGGTGGATGAGGTGCAGGAGCTTGAAGCTTTGTCCAAAGATCCTGGAGCTGTAGTGCATGGAAAGAGGTACAGTCCCACAACACTTCACCACTCCTGTTTTTGCTCCAAGATTTTAAATTTATATCAATTTATTTATCTGACGTTTTGCTTTGGAATGGCCCAAAAATAAATTGTGTTTGTGAAAAATTGTGTTTTGTGAAAATGAACTTATAAATACATATATACCTACAGTATTTTTGTATCAATGAACACTGCACTTTATATTATGAACAAAAAGACCAAACTGATTCGAAGCTTATCAAACAACATCGCCTTCACCAATACTCACAAATGGTTAATAGCTTCTTTAACAGCAGCAAGTAAATAAGCAAATTATATATTTATCCAACAAACATTAGATTTTTCACTGTACAGTAGCTGTAACCTTGAAGACAAGGATTAGTCAATAGAAGGATGCCAGAAAATCAATTTATATTCTTATCATACGTATCTAAAACTGTTTTATCCAGAAAAATCCAAATTGTAGTATTCTTCAATTCCGTTTTCCTTTTTACTAACATACATTATCCCAAGGCACTGCATAAAGTATGGTCGAGACCTCAAAATATCCAAGGGAGAAACCCAATAGTTCCCACAAACAGCAAACACTTGTGGAGTTGAAATAAAAAACATTTAACAGGAGCAAACAGAACAACATGTTCGGGGCGGGCTACCATCCTCTTCCTCTGAAAGTTTTCACTTATCTTCAAAGTTCACACTGTTTGCTGGACACCACCTCAACAGCTATGTCATCTCAGAATTGGTCCCAGAGAAAAACTATGCAATGCGATATTTGCATCTACCCAACTTTAAACACTGACTCAACAAATTCTCAAGAACAGCTTGAAGTGTAATCATCTATAACCTCGTAAATAGCCTCCATTACTCGCAGTTTCTTTGCCAAAAATATTCCTGTGTGCAGGAGAGAAATCTTAAAATTGCTAATAAATTGCAGGAGTTTGACTCTAATGTCAGTAATCATGTCATAAGACGAGATTACTGAGATGTCCCCATTGTTTTTTTTACTCCACAAACAGCGAAGGTCTCGCTTTAGATCAGCAGTCTTCCTGTATTAAAGCCGTCCATTATAAAAAAGGAAGGTATTAGGCTGAAGCAGGTCGGCTCTGCTCTCTGGGGTCTGAGGCCGGCAGCAGGAATCAACACGGAGCAGATCAGTGTGAGATCTCCTGCTGGCTGAAAGTGATCCTGCTGCCTGGCTTCTGTCCCAGACTCACACACACATACTCTCTGACACCTCCAGAAATAAAACACAGACACATGTGTGATTTTGCATATATACATGTAAAGACGTGTATGTACTGTATGTGCACAAGACTCTTGTACATGTTAGCTTTACTGTACATGAATACCTTCTGGCCAACATGCTGACACACACACACACACACTTGGTTCTTCCCCTCGGATCTCCAGGGTTTTGTCTCCCTACATGGTGTTTGTACCAGCAGGTAGAGCAGTTGGCAGGTCCTTCAGCTCCGGAGGTGCTTGGACAGAGTCGTGATGTATGGGTCATTAAATCTACCTGTGGTGCTCAGCATGCTGCTAACACACTGCCACGTTCTGTTTCTCTCTCTGTATCTGTGTGTGTGTAGTTTGACGGAGAGGGCCCAGCTCCTGAAGAACGTCTTTAAGAAGAGCACAGTCAGTCTGTACCGGTCCGACTCCATGCAGCAGAACCTGCTCCGTAAGTTTCACCAAAGTTTGCTCCCTTTCTTTCTTTCTGTCTGTCTGTCTTTTCTAAGCGTGCCTCATTGTTGAGGCTGTTAGTTTATCCACATAAGATTTCGTTCCCTTGTCAGGGGAGCAGTTTACACAGCACTACTCCTCCTCTGACACATACTATATCTCCAGAAAAGCCCATCCTTCAGCCTTCTGCTCATCCCACCGTTTCATAAATACTCTGCGTTAACTAGATGCAGGAAACACACATAAGTAATTGTGTCTGCAAACAGCTCCACAGTTCACTGTGTCCCAACCGTCACAATGTCTATCAGACTGCTTATATGAACTGTTAGGTGAGGTGATTTTAATGTGGAGGGAATAATACATAGAGCATGAACAGGGCTGAGTATAAAGTCTTAAATCTCTACTTTCTTTATCATCGGAAATGTATGAACGACTGTAAAGTAGCAAAGGTTTGTAGTGAAGCTTCTGTGAGAAGGATTAAGTCTTGTTTTCTCATTTGAACGTATTTTATTTTTTCACATAACATTTTCTTGTTTAGGTGAAGACAAACAAATTTGAAACGCACATAAGTGTTAGATCATCAAAATAACCGAGTACCTAGTAGCCACTGTTAAAGGATTTTATACGCTGTAGTGATGTTTTGAGCACAAGGCTCTTCCTCTGGCTCTTCGTCCGACTACAGACCAGTGAGGTCTACAGAGAACGGAAGGACGGATTTGTCGGCCACATTTTTGTCAGGCTGATCCCTTCGCTGTGATACAGTTGGTCTTCTGATGCAGCCTCCGAAGGCGTCGGCTCCTGAATTGAGACGCAGTTTGTGTTTATCAGAATTCTGAGGAAGAGTCTTGTGCTCAAAACACAACGACAAATAAAACACTAACATACCTGAAACACCCCTCGGTCAAGTCATGACTCAATTAATACTTCGTCAGTGTGTAACTTTTGAACTAGGAGCTGCTTCACTGACTATAATATATTTATATTATAACTTGGATTGTATAGTACAGTGTTGGGGGGTGATTATAGACAGAGAAATATCACAGATCAGCACAGTTGACTTGAGAATCCTTAGATCTTATCTTAAGATTTACATCCAATTAGTAAGTCTATTGTAAAGCATTAAAAAGTATAACTGTAACATCAGGAGCTCAAGTCGGGCGTCACACAGGAACTTGAGGATCATTGTGTGGGTTTGATTTTGGTTGTCTGTTTTTATTTTTCTCTTTTCTGTCTTTTATCTGATCAGTTTGTTTTTGTTTGTCTCATAGGTGGGGATGAGACCGTTGTTGTGTGATACATTTTTTTAAATTTCCATTATTCAAACCTCACCCTTTTAATTAAAATCTCATCCCCCCGTAGCTCCCTGATAGACGCCTCTCTCCTCTGTCTGTTTCCCCTGTCGACTTCCTGTCCCTCCACCCGTGTGCCCTTGAGCTGAGTTCAGTACAGCCAGATAACGGTGAAATGATGAAATGTTGCGCTGTTATTCCCCCACAATGCACTCATCTCAGCGGGGTCCTTTGAACTTGCCCGCTGGCCTCCAGGTACTGACCGAGTCATTTGACACCTGAAGGTGAGTCAGGGGTCAAAGGTCAGAAAGGAACCCAGTGTGAGAGTTTAGGTGATAGATCCTAGGGCAGTGTGATCATCTGTTGTTTATCTTCATTTTCTGTTTAATTTTATAAATTTAATTTATTTAAAAAAAACATTTTGGTAAAATTGCTTATTTGTTTTCTTTCATTATATTAGAGGAGTGACATCACTCTCGTGTGTTCAAAGTTTTTAGCACGTAACTTTCCCAGTAGTCTGTGTGTCAGCATTAATGTTACGTTCAAGTCACTGAGCTTAATGTCATTTTTCTGGTGGAAAAATGTCAATACAAACATCTAAAATGGCTCATTCCTTTAAACAGATGGTAACTGATGACTGCCGGCACAGGAAACTGTCACAACCTGGGAAATGATTTGATTTTCTTCTACAGTGCAGTTACAGACTCAATTTTTATTTTTCATCCAGATGTTTAGACGCGTTTACTGAATGTTGTTAAACGGCCATCTGGGTTTTTCTATCATGTTCCGATATTTATCTCTCAGAGAAACAGATGCTTAGCTCCGTGCAGGGAACGTCCCCAAGAGAGGAGCTAACTGGGATTAAAGCTAGCAGTTAGTTATCTTAGCATAAAGACGAAAAACAAAAGGAATAACTCAGACACACACAACTTCAACCAGGAATTGTTGTTGGGATGTGCATTGTGGTCATTGCTAAGCTTTCAAGGTGCAGAATTGTGTCACTTTGGATAGAGCCAGTTAGCTTAGCTTAGCATAAATAAGGGAAACAAGGGGAATCCAAAGCAAACTTGATCCTGCCCACTTCTAAAGCTCAGTAATTATATTCTGTTCATTGCATACAAAAGCCCAATTGTAAAAACAACAATTTATAGTCTGGAGAGACAGAGACTTAAACTTTATTTAAAATACAATACGTCAAACAAATAAGCTTATTTTACCAAAAATGTTTAGCTGATAAGTCATTTGTTTTTTGTTCATTATTTATTGTTAATTCAGTTGTTTTGATTACATCTTTATACATATGTTTTATACTTTTAATTAAATCACTGATACAAATGAGCTTGGTTGTAACTGCTCCAAACCTTTTTTCAGATGGCTACGCCTTCTCTCAAGATGAGAACGGAGTGGTGTCTCAGTCGGAGGTCATCAGAGCGTACGACACCACCAAACAGAGGACCAACGAGTGGTGAGCCGCCGGCCTCCTCGTTCCCGGCTGGCCAATCCAGAGCCACGACAAGCCGTTTGTAATGGGCGGTATTTGAAGCTGAAGGGGGGAGAAGCCGAGGTGTGAGCGTGTGCCCCCCCTCACAACAATGACGGGGGGATTTTGGACATGATCATGAAAAGGACGGAGGAAAGTGACATTGGGTAATCTTTGAAAACGGGGAGAGAGGGGGAAAAAAAAAACAAGGTACAAAACAAACCGTGTTCACTATCAGCTGTAGTTGTGTGTCCAGCAGACATGATGAGCACTGTGCTTTCTTAGCAGTCTGTGGTCTGAAGTTTTTCACTGTTCTCGCTCAGTTTGTCGGACACGTGCCCTAACTATTGATTTAAGGACGCTCGCCGGCACGGAGCTTAAAATCCAATCAAACTCCTAAAACACTGTTATTATAAGTTTAAACACTGGACGATGATTAGCTTTTAGATGTTTTGAACTTGTGACAGATTGCCAAAGAGCAGTCGTATATACAATCTATCCAAGTACTAGTGAATTCGGAAAACTTTAAACCAAATGTAATCGCACTGCTGAGTGTATTCCAGCACTGAACTGACCACTTCAGAGCAGATTTGTAATGATTCAATTTTCTTTTTTTGCACTTAAGGAAGCATCTCTTGTGTAAAGCCTTACATTTGCTCATGCCTTCATCTTTACTTCTTTTAAAACAGTTTGTTTTTGTTTTGTTTTTAAAATATGTTAGATATTGTGCCTGGTGTTGTTTCTTTTTTCAATTTTAGTTTTTAGGAGGTTGCCTCCAGCAACTCACTGTAGTCCTGTTTCCACCGTTTTTACAGCAGAAGCATTGCTCTTGACGAATAACGGCATTCCACACATCACTTCCTGTCTCAATGATCACGACGGTGCCTACGTAGAACTTTTCCCTCTTTAGAAGAAAATCGATAGCCAAGAATAGTTTAACCAGCTAGCTTAGAGCAGTGCTGCACACACACCTACTGAAGACAAAATCACTGTCCCCCCCACCACAGTGTTGCACTCGTACAGTGTGAAAGCTGCAGTTTTGTGTCGCGCGGCACATGTAAACCTGAAGATTTGTCCCTGCGGAGGTGAACGGGTGATGATGGTCTTGTTGAAGCTGAAGGTGGTGCCAGTGTTTTCCCTTAAAATGGAGATTTTATCCTTATAACATAAGTGCCATTAGCTTAAGGGAGAGAGAAATATTAGCCAGGAAAACTCCACAACATTATCAAAACTACTTTGTCTCTATAGTTATTTTGTGGATTTGTATTTTTATATTGGAGATGTATGACTTTTGCATTGACCGGCTTTGTAACGACTCGTCTGTAACTTTTTAGTTTCTTCTGATAAACTGGCAGGATAGAATAGGTCGAATGAGAAGACTGAGCTTTCTTAAATGTCTTGTTATTATTGATATTAATATTGTTATCGCTTGATTTATTTATGATTGACTCTCTAATGTCTGTGCGGTTGCGTTCTTCTCCCTATGGGAGATCAGATTTCGGACAGTGCGAGTGTGTGTGTCAGTTTATTGCCTGCATGTGCATGTGCTGTGTGTGTGTCTGCGTATGTGTGTCGCCTCGACAGCTTCTGTGTATGCACTGCATGTCTGTATCTTCCACGTGAGAGCGGGGGATCACTTCTCCTGGTGGGTTTCTTTTATCGTGTGTGTGTTTGTGTGCATCAGTGTGTATGAGAGAGACGCTTGCTTGTCCGTCTGCACGACTCCAGGTATAGCTATGGTGTACTACTGTGCGCTGATGCATGGCTCATATGGGACAGTGTGAGTGTCCGTGTGTTATGAATGAGTGTGTTTGTGTGTGTGTTTGTGAGTCAGACTCTCAACTGTGCAAGTTTTTGATGTTCAGCTCTGCTTTGACAGGAGATGTTGCACAATTAGCTCAATGTACCTTTCCAGTAGTGGACATCTGGTGTTCTCTGGTTGAGGTAAATGATTTCTTCTGAGTGTTACTGGACAGGAAAGCTCGTTTGTGTTTCTCAGTTTATTCGGGGGTTAATGATTTCTTTTTCCTCCCTCTGCTGGTCTTTAATGTTAAAACTTTTTATCGGTCGTCATCTTGTCGAAACTTTCCAAACCGCTGAATGTGGATGTTGTCGTTGTGGAAGGCTTGGACTGTTGCTTACTTTTTCCCAGAAAACATAAAACACACACGTTGTTGTCTGTGAAAGTCGTGGGCTGCATGAATGGAAAACACAAACTGTTCTCTGACTTGTTAACTGTACTTTTGATTCTTTCTCGAGTGTTGATCACTTTACAAAAGAGGAAAAAACTGCACCTTTTATTATTTTAAATATTCTTTTCTGTTATTTTGTTCAATGATTGTTCTGCATGTTGGGACTGCAAACTTATACGTGTTGTCTTTTACTGCCATGAAGGACTACTGAAATAAACTTTACAACGATGGAGGAACATTGTGGACGTCCCTTCTGATTTTTCTTGTGTGTATTTGCGGGTTTGTAATCGTTGTCATCTTGTGCCTGTGTGTGGCGACAAACAGGATAGAGAAGCTAAACAGGAAAAGGCAGACGGAAACATCAGCCTGCATCCAGGAAAAACTAATTATATTGATAGACCTTATTTATTATTGTGATGGTGGTTAGCTTTCTGCTTGAGTCCCTGATCTCAAACAGACAGAAACATGTTCCTCTAACAGACGATTAAAACTGACCTACGTAGTTTTTGACTTCAAGTTCATGAGGTTCTGTTTGTAATAAATCAAAGGAAAGTTTTTTTTCTTGTTTAGTATTTTAGCAGCATTTTTGGGGATTACAGCTTCCAGATGCTGTGAAGACTTCAAGCCAGGATAATTATTCATTTACCTCAACAGGAGAAAGTCTACTGGCAACATTGTTTCACTATTAATCATTTATTTATTGTGCTTTTTATATCGTTGGATATTAAATATCATTGGTTTTGTTGGTCATACAAAAAACATTTTAAGGACAGTTGAAGAAACTGAACAACATCAGTCCTGGTCAATTTGACGACACTCGTGGATCAGTGGTAGGACATAAAAAATAAGTACATTTACCTTGTTATTGTAAACTAAACTAAGTTTTTCAAATAGCTGTACTCCACTAAAGTAGATTTACTTTTGGGTACATTTCACTTTTACTACACCACATATATCACTGAATATCTGTACTCTCTAGTGCACTACATTTTCACAATGCACATGTTTACACTGCTTTTTTTTATATGTTTTAAAGTAACCAGAAACACGAGGGGAATAGGTCCAATGATCCAATCAGAGCATGCAGGTAACGTTAGAGCCCGCCTCCTTCACCATGGTTTCAGAGGAAGTCCCCGCCCAGACTCTGCCTCAGTGATGTAGCAGAGTGATGCACTTGGCAAGTACTTATACTTTTAATACTTTGAGTATATTTAAAAGCAAGTACTTATGTAATTTTACTCAAGTAGACGAGTTAATGTGGTACTTTTACTGTACTCCGCTGCTGTCATGGATAGAGCAGCTGTTTGTTTTCTCTGCTGTGTCTGATCCATGTTATTTACCTGGTGCGGGAAAGTTGCTGTTCCCGTGTTTCGTCGACACATTTATGATGAACATCGTGGTTTCTGCTATCTCTGTGCTTCCTGTGTCTGTTTCACAATAAAAGCCACCCTGTGTTTGGCCAGTTCAAGGCTTTTAATGTGAAGTAGCAGCAGCACTGAGAGATATCCAGTTTGCATGTTAACTAATATTCTGATGTTAACCTGATTAGTTAACACTGAATACGACACTGCCATGTAAACAACATTTTCTGATTGAACCAAATGAAGGCAAGTGGAGTTTCTGATCTTCGCATTATGTAGACGTGTGTAAGTCGTCTTAATCACATTATAACGTCCTATTGGAATTTTCCCAGCGATATACAAGTTACCAACTGCATGATGACACGTGACCTGAGTTCAAGTCATCGTCAGGACGTAATATTTATGAGTCATTAATCAGACTAAGCTCTATAACACGTGAACAGGAAAATGAATGGAACGTTCCATTTAAACTCATGTAAAACATCACGACCAAAACAATCTGCTTTTCAGAATGAGGTCAGGATTCTACTGACTCTGAGCTCTGATCCAGAGTGAAGAGAGGGAACAATGAGATAAAATCACAAGCCATGACACTGGACCATTTGATGCATCGTCTCCTGTGGATCACTTGTGTTTGAGAAACATTTGAATCCAGGCAGGAATGTGCTGCCTGACACCGACCATGAAAACTAATTTAATTATGAGGATAAATGTTAATATTTAAGTTTAAAGACTCCTGAGAGAAGGTTGTCCTCTTTTATAGTTTTTAACTTTTCTTTGAGAGCAGAGAATAACAAAAACTTCATAAACAGAAACATATTATATGAATCTGACTTTGAAAAATGATGTTTCATAATTTCTAAACCATCATATATTGAACTTTGGTTATTTTGCTATTGATGATAATTATTGATATTGTGCAGGATAGAGGATGAAGAAATTGTATCAAAACAATCATTCAGTTTTATTTGTGATGATTGTGAGGAATCTGCTGTATATTCAAAATGTTCTTGATTTTACGACCACAGTGATTAAATGTAAGTCAGCGTTTCTCTGAGAGGAATCAAGAGTTTAGGTTCAGACTAGAAAAATGATTGCATTTCAATTAAACCCATGAGACAGAATTAAGTTTCAGTGTGAAGAAAAACAATCGGAGAAACTTCCACCTTCGTGAATCACTTGGAAAAAAGGAAATCTGAAACTTTTCCCGAGGCCCGGCGAAGACAAAAGATAACACGTCTCCCAGAGATTCAGGGAATGTCCAGAAAACGTGTTCACGACTTAACTTGCGTTTTCCTTTTAAAAGCAAAGTGTGAAATCTGACACAGGCGACCGCAAGTATTAACGAGAGCTGAGGAAGTGAATCGCTTACATACTAATCATTGAAGGTGTGTTCTGTGGTAGAAACAGTGGATGGATAATAACAGATCTTAGAGGAACCCTGAACACACAAGATTTCATGAGACAGATGCCAAACCTGTTCCACGGTCAGATAATCAGCGAACAGAAGCGTCTTTGTGGAGCTTGTCTTCATACCTGTTGGTGCAACCTAAACCTCTATTTCTGGACCCAGTTGTTTCTAACACTGTGACCATGCCATGCTCATTGAACACTGACAATGACTCATCTCATCGCTGCATTCCTGCTGTGAAGTCTGGCGCAGGAGCGAGCGACAGGTAGGAGGCTGCTCCGGTTTCCTCGCTGTCTGAGCGGCGATGACGCTTCGCTCCGGACAAATGCTTGTTAGTCGAAAAATGTAACGCAAGCGAGCGGGAGCTACTGAGAGGCAACATTTTATTGAGCTGTAAATTGTACCTGCACCACATTATATAAAAGTCCACATTTCCTCCACAGTAAAATGACAGCGGTGAATCTGCGCCTCGTCTTTCAGAGGTTTCTGCGATTGTCGAAGATCCTAATTCCCTGGTTTCCAACATGTACGACAGAATATCTCTAATCACGTCAGAGGAGTCTCAGTGTCGGAGCCTGAACTTCTTCTGCTGGAGAGGAGGGTGTGAGATAAACTGGCAAGATTTCAGCCTCAGAATTCCACCTTGAGGAATGTGATGTATAAAAAAATAAAACGTCGACCACAGAAATCTTTTGACAACATGATATAAAAGTGCATAAGATTCAGAATGGTTGGGTCTGTTGAACTGTGAAGCTGCAGAGCAGGAACAGCTTCAGGCCTCAGCGTCCAACCACAGCAGCTACTTCATCACTGTCGCTCTCTGTCCGTTCAGCCCAGCTGTGCTGCAGTGGATTCAAACCCCCGCCAGCTCACACCCACCGTCCAGGAATCGTGTAATCCCTCTACTTCCCCTCCTGGGAGCCGTGTCAGCTCTGTCCGAAGTCAGCGAAGCTCTTGGCTGCTGTGAAGGCGTCTGGCTGCAGGGGGAAGAAGTACTGCTGCGGCAACAGGAACCCGGCGCTCTGAGAGGGGTGAGAGGGGATGGAGGTCTGGTGGACCTGCAGCTGGGTGTGAGTGGAGGGCAGCGAATGTTGCATGGGTGGGGATGTGTAGGGGGGAGGTAGAGGAGGAGGCAGAGTCTGAGGGGTCTGGGTGGGGGTGGAGGCTGACGAGGACATGGTGGCAGACACCAGGCAGCTGTGCTGCTGCTGCTGCCCCCCCTGACCCCCGAGAGAAAATCTTCGCATGGAGCTTCCTCCTCCGGCCGAGCTGGAGCTGGTGGTGGCCGTGCTGGACTGTCGCGACGGGGCCCGGAGGCTCGGAGGGGCCGTGGTGAGGATCATGGGGATGGTCTCGCCCTGGCAGCTGCGCAGGGAGAAGCGAATGGGCTGCTGGGTCGGCTGCTTGGGCCGCAGGCAGGTGCAGCAGTAGACGGCCACCAGAGAGCCGACCACGACGAAGGCGACGAAGATGCTTCCCACCATCAGGAAGGGAACGTAGATGGGCTCTGAGGGCGGAGGAGACACAGGCAGGTTAGAATCAAACACGTGTCAGAGGGTTCAGAGGTTTTTAAAACGTTTGATTCAATCAAAGCACTTATTTCTCACTGTCACACTTTACTTTGAAATCCTCCACAATATTTTAAGTATTTACTCATGTACTTTATTTTTCAACAACTTTACCTATGAGGATAAGTTTTATATAATTACAACTGTGATTTACTACTAACACTATCATTGATCATCAATTCATACAACAGTGAGTGTGAGTGTCCACATGAGGAGTTGTTGTCTCATAAGACATTAAATAGGGCTAAATTAAAGAGTCACCATTTCCTCTGCTGCTACAGGTGAAACAAACCTATTTAAATTGTCTTTTAAGTAAAAATCCTTTATCGTATTAATTTAAAAAAAGATAAGAGCTAACTCCTGCTGAAAACACAAACATCTCATGTTACACTTCATGAAGCCTTTTGCTCTGACAGGAAACCAGCGACTGTTTATTTATTTTGACGGGACAAAATTAGGAAATTGTGCAGCACACAGACACAGTCAGTCATAAACCTGTGAACTCAGCCGCTCGGGAAATTTAAAGCAAGCTGATAAAGCCTCTGAGTTAAAGTGAGCGATTGTTAGAATAAAGTAATGTCACAACACACAATGTTGTTGGTCACTTGAGTTGATGAAGCAGCCAGAGTGACTGAGCTTTTTATTAGGCAGAGAAAAGGTTCAGCTTTGTGAGAGAGACTGTTGCAGCAGCACTGAGACAAATCTCAAGTTGATTAAGTTTAGTATAAAAGAAGAAGAAGAAGTCTATCTTGTTAAGTGACTGAGGGTTTGTCTCTTTTTTACACTGACAACAATCTGCAGTGAGCTGGAGACATTGATTGATTGACTGAATGACTGATTGAATAATAATGGATGATATAAAACAGTGACAGCTGAAAGAAAAAGTCTTGTAAAATAGACCTCATCTGAAATATTCAGTTTCCCAACAGATTGATTAAAAGTCAAATGACTGCAACTTTTTTTTAAATCATCTTAACACTTATGAATATTAAGTTATCATTGCAAAACAACCCAAAGGTAAAGATGCTGTTTCCTTCAGAACTTTAAGTTTTGTTCACTTGAGAAAACACAAGTGTTGTTCTAGATTGAGAATGTGCTGAGGTGTCAATGAGCAAGGCACTAAAACCCTCAGGTTACTTGCTCTGCACTGACTTTATCAGGGGTTTTCAGTTGACCTCTGACCTCAGAGTGGAAGACAACTTTCCTTAATGTCATAAATGACTTAGTGCATCATGTTTTTACCCAAACTAACAGAACTACATGTTAGTGTTTGTTAAAAAGATGCACTTGTCGAAGCCTGGTCACTTTTTTAGAGGAGATCTTTAAAAGAAAGACCCAGAAGCAAAGATTCTTCAACATACGCGCTGCAAACTCGGTGTTCTCCACCTCCCGGTCGTTGGTGCAGCCGCCCTGGTCCAGTCGTGCGTCCGCGGCCGCGCAGCAGTATCTCAGGGAGCAGGAGCCGCAGCACACGGTCGCGTCCATGGTGTCAAAGTCCTCCGGACACTGGAAGCCCTCGTGGTAGTTCCCGTTAGCGTCCAGCCAGCCGTGGCAGTACTCCCCCTGGGCGTCCGATATCCGCAGGTTCCAGGTCAGATACCCGAGCAGCAGGCAGCTCAGCAGGCGCACCATCCCGGCAGAGGGAGCCGCGGCGGGGCCCTTCGGTTCCCTGCGTCCGGCCGAGGGGGCTTCAGCTCCGGACTGAGTCAGCCCGGGTTACGCGCTCCTCATGGAGGTGAATCTGAGCGAATGGATCCCAAAGAAGCAAAGTTATGTGACCCTCATCCTCCCGGCTCTCGACCCGCATTCACACCGGAGTCACCCGATCACCAGAGACAGAGTCCTGCATCAAGTCCTCGCTTCTCCCTGTGGCGCTGATCTCAGTTCAGATCTTCTCTCTCTGTCCGCACAAGTTGTGTGAACTCTTTTCTGCGCGGCCGCTGCTTTTGTCACTCTCCCCGGGTCCTAACGCGCGCACGTATCCCTCATTAACATGACGTGCGCGCTCCCGGGGTCCCGAGGCATAGTGATGCTAATTCTACCTGAAGCCGTGAACGAGCACCCTGTCTGTCTGTCTGTCTGTCTGTCTGTCAGTCAGTATCTGTCTGTCTGTCTGTCTGTCTGTCTGTCTGTCTGTCTGTCTGTCTGT